GGGGGGGGGCTAGAGCGACGACGTATGCGCGAAACGGCGCAGGCCGCAGCCGCTCAGTTTCTCTCAGCTCGCTGTCGAGGCAAGGTGTCGTTGGCTTAACCAGCGTCATAGCCACTGCAAGATGGATGCTTTCGGCACTCTGCCCTCATCCTGAGGGTCTATGGATTTGAGCGCGTAAGATCGGCGGGGGTGGGCTGTGTTGGTGCTGAGGGACTGTGACACGGAGTACGGGGACTCGTAATGATGCGCGCGTGATCCTTGGTACTGGCAGCGGGGGCTAGAGCGAGGATAGAGGAGCGTCAGCGGTAGCGGCAACGACAGCAGCAGCAGCAACAGCGGCGACGGCGGCGGCGGCGGCGGCGGCAGCGGCAGTGGCAGCAGCAAGAGCGAACGAGGGAGGAGAGAGGGGGAGGAAGGAGCCGCGTGTCCGGGGCGGTAATAGTGGCGCGTGCCGGCGGCTGCCCGGACGATGACGCCCCAGCAGTCGTGAGCGCAGCGCCGCTCACTGCTGGAGGAGTGAGGAGCGCCGCCACAATGGTGGATAACAATTGCATTATCGAGGGTAATGTCAAGTTCCGCGATGGCAAGAAGGTGAGTAAGAGAGCGCGCCACGGGTGAAAGGTATGCGGGAGTGCACTCGTTCGGCTGGTGAGAGCGCCTTAGATGCTGGAGGTCGAGGGAGGGGGAATCGAGTGTCAAAGTAAACGAGAGTAGGTGCTCGGCGTGTTAGCCACTCTCTCTCACTCTCTCTCTCTCTCTCTGCCCTCTCTCTCTCTCTGCCTCCCTCTCGCGCTCGCTCGCTCGTTACCTTATCGACGGCGTGGTGAGGGTGGTCGGCTGCCGGAGCGGGGAGGGAAGGCGGCGTCCCGGTTCATGCTTTTCGCGCTTTTTCCCCTCCTCTTCCTGCCCTTCCTTTTCTTCCCCATTGTGCGCACCCGCTGCTGCAACGAGTCTGGACTGTCAGAGGGGAAGACAGTAATAGAGAGAGATAAATAGATAGATAGAGAGAGAGAGAGAGAGAGAGAGAGAGAATGAGAGAAAGTAGCGGCTTTGTGGGGCGCCTAGCGTTCCGGGCGCCGTGACCGGCCGAGGGGCAGCAGCTGGCCCCCGGGAAAGGAGTTGGGGAGGCTGCGCGGGGCCATTATATAAAGACAGAGACCCGAGGACGATCAAATGGTAGAGCCTGATTAACGATTAATGTCTCTCCCTTTCTCTCTCTCTCTCTCTCTCTCCCTCTTTCTCGCCTCGACGTGAAGGGGAAAGGAACGATGTACGCGTGCGAGGGGGGCTCTCCCGATGAATTGCCTGACCCCACACCCCCCCCAAGG